CGGGCCTTTCTCTTAGTCGGGGTGAATTTTTCCTTAGTCGGGCTTTCTCTTAGTCGGGACTTTCTCTTAGTCGGGGTGAATTTTTCCTTAGTCGGGCTTTCTCTTAGTCGGGACTTTCTCTTAGTCGGGGTGAATTTTTCCTTAGTCGGGCTTTCTCTTAGTCGGGCCTTTCTCTTAGTCGGGTGAATTTTTCCTTAGTCGGGCTTTCTCTTAGTCGGGCCTTTCTCTTAGTCGGGTGAATTTTTCCTTAGTCGGGCTTTCTCTTAGTCGGGACTTTCTCTTAGTCGGGTGAATTCGTCCTTAGTCGGGCCTTTCTCTTAGTCGGGGTGAATTTTTCCTTAGTCGGGCTTTCTCTTAGTCGGGACTTTCTCTTAGTCGGGGTGAATTTTTCCTTAGTCGGGCTTTCTCTTAGTCGGGCCTTTCTCTTAGTCGGGTGAATTTTTCCTTAGTCGGGCTTTCTCTTAGTCGGGACTTTCTCTTAGTCGGGGTGAATTTTTCCTTAGTCGGGCTTTCTCTTAGTCGGGCCTTTCTCTTAGTCGGGTGAATTTTTCCTTAGTCGGGCTTTCTCTTAGTCGGGCCTTTCTCTTAGTCGGGTGAATTCGTCCTTAGTCGGGCCTTTCTCTTAGTCGGGGTGAATTTTTCCTTAGTCGGGCTTTCTCTTAGTCGGGCCTTTCTCTTAGTCGGGGTGAATTTTTCCTTAGTCGGGCTTTCTCTTAGTCGGGACTTTCTCTTAGTCGGGGTGAATTTTTCCTTAGTCGGGCACATTGCTTAGTTGGGAAATTCCGCTTAGTTAGGTGGTTCCTCTTAGTCGGGGCTTTTTGGTTAGATGAGCAAATCGCTACACTTGTGATTGGTTGACTTGACTGTCTGGCTCATGAAGGGGGCGGTATATTTAAGGTTGCATCGCGTATGATCCCGGTTATTCACAACGTCCTTCACCTCAACGGTCTACCAGCTAGACCTATTGCACTTCGACCATGGAAAAAACGACATTTGTGTTGTCCAGCAATCCCGCATGGTACGTGAAAGCACAGGAGCACGAAAAACCTTTCACGTGTACGTGCACAGAGGATTTATTCACCGCCGTTGCAGTCGCCATGAGCACAAAGACAACAGAACTACTGGACAATGCTGCGAATCATGCCTATCAACATCAAACGATCCGTAAACTCGTCAGGGACATCCTCATCAAAGACATCGGTCGATTTACCCAACGCCCATCCATACCGCTTCTTATTGCATTAATGGACATTGTGGACATTGAAGCTGTTGGGTTGGAATGTATGTCGACCGAAGACCGCGCTGGACTCAAAGAGTTATTGTTGTCTATGAAAAACTATACGCATTTCTACATACCGGCTAAAGAATTGAAAGTTACGGCTGATGCTCGCGTTGTTATCCCCGTGGTGACGACGCAGTCGCAGCATCGCAAAGCACCTGAACTGCGATACTGTGACCAGAAAAGATCGTCGTTGGCCACGTACGTGGTACCACTGATGCACGCTACCGATGCGTATTTTGTACAACAAGTGTTGGTACTGCCGGGCGCAAAAAGCCTAGAATTGTTAAGAACAGTGACTGGTAACAAATATCACTTTTGGGACATGTCTTTGGAGGTCCCCACACACTTGGATGCACTGACGCCAACGTTCGACCACGTTCCACAGTACCAGCTGATTCACGAAAGCCCGGAGAGTACAGTCACACCAGCCACGCAAACCGAGAGAGATTCCAAGGCGACCATACACGCTATGTGTTGCATATACGACTCTGAAGCGGTCAACGCGCAAGGCAAAAAACGACTAGGGAGCGTGGACTGCTTAGATGTAAAGTATGTGAAAGGTGACTTGTCTCATTTTGTTTGTGAACCGGGTATCGTCAAAGTGGTGTACTGTAGACGGAATGGTAAATGTCAAGGTGATAAGATACGCGCTAACCTGACACCCATTGTTTGTAAGCGATCCGCGCAGAAGTCCAAACGCATATTGTACGTATCTACCACCGCACGCTTCTGTAGAGCAATTCAGTGTATTATGGTGAAAGGTAGCGGTGTGCTCCTCAAGCGCTGTCACCACACGTTACAGGCACTCGGGCAGGTGAAAACATTTTTGAGCGGCCTGGAATTACACCAAGACATAATTATGCCAGCTGTGACAGCGTTTGTGAAACGAGTGGTTCCAGCCACCAACTACTGGCGCAATTACATGCCAAGACACATCGTAAGTTCACTGGAACCTGTTATGAGTGAGATATTGGAACTCGGTGTAAGGTTTATGGATAACAAAATACCAAACGCGTTTGCTATAGCAGAACTATTGCTATGTCCACAGTCTACGTTCGAAAAATATGCGCAAGCATACGCGGCCTACACCAGCAACGAAACGTATCGCCGTGAAATGAATGCAAAAAACATACAGCTACTGGAAATACAACATGAGGGCGATTGGCTAAGTCTTCTACGCACAAATGACTCAATCCGTTCGGTATTAGCAGCCTCATGTACCAACAGTAGTATGCCAGACATAAATGTTGTTACACGTACGCTAAACAAATACACGAAGGTTGCCAAAACTCAGAAAAACATTTCCAGTGCTGATACGCAAACGAACATATTGGACACAAAAGTGTTGTTGCATAATCTACGCGTGTACCAAAATAAGATAAGTAAGCTTAAAAAGACTGGCGCCGGCATACAAGAAAAAACGTTGGAGGCTGGCGTGTCAAAGCAAACAACCTCGCCGAAACAAGCGTCACCGCAACGAACAATGGTCAGCAGTCCAACAGCAAAGGTCCATAGCAATGTGCAAGAAAAGATGTCGAATGCAGGCGACGCTACACGCTTGGCTGGCCCGCCCGCATCTTCAAAGAAAACGACCGAGCAGAGACCATCCACCTCGCCGAAACAAACGTCACCAAAGAAACCAACCGAGCAGAGACCATCCGCCTCGCCGAAACGAGCGTCACCACAACGAACAACGGTCAGCAGTCCAACAACAAAGGTTCACAGCGAGTATGTAATGATAATACCCGATAACCCTCATATAAACACCTGGATTGAACACCTTGGAACTATACTACAAAGCTTAGCATGGTTGTACTCCGCCATCGACCGCCGAGAAGTTGTGTGCGATATACTTGGATTGTCGAAAAGCCTGTTGCCATACAAAAAGGATGTGCTGACGCAATGGGTGATCAATAACCCCGTCCTGGTGAAACAACTAAAGCGCCACTCTTTAACCGATAAACTCAGCTTGGCACTCATCCGCCGTCTGGAAGCAGCATCGACGGAGAGCTGGCTAGACAATATCCACGGTCATTTTAAATTAACGCAACCAAGGCTTCTTGCGTATATGCAACACCACAAAAATAAACCTACAACGTCAAAGGCCGATTGTCATCACAGTATGCATGACCCGACGACACAATTCGATGACGCCGATGTATACGACAGCGAATTGACTGAAAATCGAGACGGTTGTAATGAGCCCTACTACACAAGTGAATATTTAGCGGATACCATGGAACAAGATAACATGGAACTTTCAGAAGAGGAAGAACCTACTATGACTGACATAGAAGGTATCGATGATCGTTCTACGGATGAGCTCACCGTTGCGGAGAGCAGTGACCCTGAATCGAAATACGTACACACTAAACGCAGGAGGTCTCAGAAACGTGCACATCGTGGCCAACAGGCGTACAAGCGTGCGCTTGAATCGGACGAAGACGAAGACAGCCACAGGGTGCGTAAACGAGCAAGGATCCCTGTGATGATCACGTCCGATATAGAACATGATGATGATGATGATGATGAGTCTAAGCTTGTCCACAGCGTTATAAAACACGGATCAGCGGATGAGGGTTATGACTTGGACACAAAAAGCGAACGCAAACCCACAGGAGAGAGCGTTCGCTGCGACGACGGGTCACGCGCTGATAAAACCAGACGTGATCGTGAGCGACGATCAACAAAAAGACACCGGACATCTGACTCTTGCTCATCGTCAACCTCACGACGGAGCTGTTGTTCGTCATCAACTTCACGAAGGAGTTACAAGACCAAAAAATATAAAAAGCGCCACCGTCGTGAATCCGACGACGGTTCCTCTAGATCACGCCACCGTCGTGAATCCGACGACGGTTCCTCTAGATCACGCCACCGTCGTGAATCCGACGACGGTTCCTCTAGATCACGCCACCGTCGTGAATCCGACGACGGTTCCTCTAGACCGGGTAGAGACAAGCCGATGAAAAACAAGGGTCGCAGTAATCGTCACGAACCCGAAACTACTTTTACTCATAGGAAGAGCGGGGTGTGTGGTGACGCGAAAAGGAGAGAACGTTCTACCTCTCCCTGCGTGGAAAGCTCAAAGCACGGCTTGATTGCAAACCCTACATCTGATCCGGATGTGGATGAAGCCCAGTGTGGTGTAACTATGTGAACATTAGCACACTATGTCTAAGTGTAAAGAAAAAAAGAAAGGCCACTCGGATCCACAAGGTCACATCATGATCAAGTACTTGGAGACGTTAGCCAATACGTTATCCCCTAACCAACTATCATTTGATAAGAGTACCCATACACTATGTAACTTGAGTACGCAGAAACAGTGCGAAGAAGAACCGGCAGCTAAGCGTATACGCACGGGTAGTAGTAATACCATATTGCATTACTTTGGTATAAACAAATAATGTGTGTTATCATAGATATTTTCGTGACTTTTTTCCTGTTGGTGTATGTGTGTTAACCCCAGCGCTATTGTGATTGTTTTAAAGTGCTTATAACTGAAATAAATGATGTCACACAATTGATTTCGTGGTGGGCTTTCTTTATTGATGTTTTCATTCGCAATTACAAAAGTAATACACATACAGAGTGTTTGAATTTGTAATCCCACAAAGAGTAATATACATACAAAGTTTCTAATTTACAATCACAAAAATGCATACAGACAATACGTGAAACCAAACCGGTAATATTGCCGTCAATTCATCAACAATCATTGTGGCGTGCGTCTGTAGAGTACCATGTACGCTGTGGTGCCAATTTTATCGAAGGAAAAGTGCATGCCCATAGGTCTCACAAAACTATCAGAGACGTACATCCACGTCTGATCTGATTTCACAATGGCCGAATAGTGACCGGTTACAGGATCACCTGTGTGTAGTACTACCGCATACAATTCATATTGTGCATTGGCCAGCAGGTTATTGCAACACAACCGCGCTGCGAATCTTACATTGGCTGTATTTCTGTATACGGTAACACTCTTATCTCGTGTACTTGTACGCACCCTTGCAATCTTAACGCACAGTAGTCTCGGTAATTCGACAAATGTCGTGACTACGCTCAACTCAGTGTCTCGCTTACATACGTTGCAATAACAATCTGTCACAGTGTAGGATTCAGAGTACGTGTTCATATACTCTTGTAGACACGTTAAAGGCTCTTGCGTTGGGTTAACGGTTATATCGCTGGCCACAGTATTCATAACGCGTTCGGTTTTACATTGGGAACACGTGAACTTTTCTTTCTTTTTTATCATCCAAAGTTCGGATAGTTCTTTGCACGCCGGATCACCGGCGTCGGCTAACGCGACTAAGGAGCACTTAAACACGGTGTCGGCGTCGTCCATTACGCCGACTTGCGGTGTAGCGTACATACATGTAACCAATGCAATGACACATGGCATCGAATCGCACGCTGAGTCTGATGTTTGGTTGGCTAGTGCACGGAACAAACGATGCAATTCTCCCGGCACAGTTCCGTTGTTGGTGTTGTATTTTTCGTGAGACAGTGTATCTCTATACTCCTGAGTGGCGTAGAGGCACTGGAGAACGCTATTTGTTGCGCACACCAATCCGTTGTTCACCAATCCCCTCATGACGCGTCGCGTATCAATAGTCGGTTGTACAATGTAAGGAGACGCTTTTGAACAGTTTCTCTATAGAGTTAATGACGCCAGTGTCCGTTGGTGTTGGTACATTAGCTAGGGATACCATTAATATGGTCACCTTATAGTACCAGGACGTAAGCTCTGGCACGGGACCCGGAGTATGGACTTTGGTGAGTCTTATCACAGGTGCCCACTGTACTGCCTTGGAGGCATCGTGCGTGTATATATCCTTCTTTGCGTGTCCGCGAAATAGCCCTCTGTCCAGTTTATCTACACGGGGCACAGAGGTTAATGCCGTGGTACACAAACGTATTGTAGTCAGACCCTGCGTGCAGTCCAAAGTGGCGACGGTGATCGCTGCCATACCCAACGCGTTAACTCGTAAACGCAATATTATATTTCTCACGATAGCGCCTGTCGCGCTCTCATTTTGGTGCGCGGTCTCAGCACGACACGCCACCTTAGAAAAACGATTCATCCTAATACGCGCCGGCGTACCGTACACGAGAACCTTACCCGTACAGTCCTTCGTGTTGCTTTCGCCGGGGGGTTGGCGCGTCCAGTTCGGCGTGTCTAATGTGTAATGTTTGAATGTGACATGTGTGTCCGCTACCGACACGATAACAGGTAGCGTTCTTTCTACGCCGATGATACCAGTAACCGTAGACACTTCCGATATCAAGGAGCGTATCACGTCCGTTTCACCATCGGATCCCATGTATCGTTGTTCTATCGACGCGACCAACGGAGAGTCAGGGACGTGTTTTCTAAGCATATCCACACACACGCGACATGCGGTAGAATTGCTCTCTCCCAACAATTTTCGATAGTCGGATGTTTGATGAACGTGCCCTAAGATGTATCTCACAATATCAATCATTACAGTCCCTTGTCCCACCAACAAATGGTCCAAGCGTAGGTGGATTGGAAGCAGTTTATGTTGTCTAGCATGTAACAATGTCACCAGAACCTGCAGTAAACACGCATAAAACGCATTGTTGTCTTGTGGTGTCCAGTCGATAGCTGTCACGGCTCGAAAATATTGTCCGTATTGAAACACGTACAGATTATGAGCCCGCGAGCTATTGTACACCGCCTCTCTAGGTCCCGCGAAAAGTAAAGGGTGGTCGACCGTAAGCTGACACGATGGTTCTACAACCTCTCGTTCGAATCTAGCTATATCGTCATCGGTGGCATTTTTTATGATCACTAACGTAACAGGCGGTTCGCCTTCTGCTTGTTTATTACACATAACACACTTGCTATTGTATGTGCCGGTAGTGTCTATAGCCGGCGGTGGGGCCTGTGGTTGATCTACGGAACGCGGAGGCTGACTCGACTCTGGTCTTTGCCCGTTAGGTAGCTGGTCTAGTCGTGCTTCCGCTACCACCGATGGTACTGCTGGCCGCGGAGCCGATGTGACCGACGAGCTCGCATCGCAGACCCGAGAGGCTTCGTGTGCTGCGTTGGTAGTGCAGCTGAGCTGATCTGCGGGACGCACGTTGTCCACCGCCGCACTTTTCCGCGTGTCATTATCGATAACCGGTTTGTCCGGCGATTGATGTTGGAACCGCTGATGTTGACTTGTCTCTGATCTTTGTCCGTCGGCTAGCGAGTCTCGTTTCACGCTCGCGTTACAACATCGATCTGTTGTACGTATCGCGTTAGGCTCAAGTTCGTGCGTAGAATGATCCACAGACTGAAGTCCTGTCACATCTAGAGACGCGCGCTCCGGATCATAGCTCAGTTTACGCTTCAGGTAGAATGTCCTGTGTAGATGATCCAGAGCCTTTTCTTTTTGCTTATACCACTCTATGGGTTGCAACTCGGGCGCTATCCGTAACACGTCGAGCCCGTAGTATTTTTTACAGTCACTCTTAAAACCGGTGACGTGTTTCGCGGCAAACGTGGCCGCCACGTCTCCGGTAATGCAATCGTTTGGTATAATTGCATCGGTGATCTTATACGCCCCGATGTGCAACTTGAATGGAAGTGTACATTGTGGCACTGTAGCTTTCGTGATGTCCTTCGCCAGGCTCGTGTAACGGTTCAACGATAACAAGCGCGTAGGAGTCCAACGTTCCTGAGGAAACAGGGTTATGCACAACAGGCCCATGGTCACAAACGCTCTGTCCTGAACATCGGGACTCATGTCATTCAGCGCTTGTAGGATCTCGTCCGTGGTCGGTCTAACGTGCTGGTATTTAGCGTATACGCCCTTAGCGTCGAACGCTTTCATCCACGGACTTTCGAACGACACGTCTGGCTCAACGGTAGGATAAACACCGAGCAGCTGGGCGAGGCTGGTCGCGTACGTCTTCTTGCAGAACTCTGTAGACGGCGACGCTCTGTATTTGATTAAAGGCGTACCAGTGTATAATTCCCACATTATACAATACCAGCTAAACACGTCGCTGGCCGTGGTAGAATTCAAACACCATAAACATTCTGGAGGCATGTGCACCCTATTGCCTCTGTGTTGGTCTGGTGTGGAGTAGTTTGCAGCGGTCCCCAAATCACTTATTTTGAACACCACTTCGATGGGCCGTCGGCCCGGCTGATGGCACACGAGTATGTTTCTGTGAGTCATATCTCTGTGTTGTACGTTCAGCCTTTGTAGATACTCGACCCCTTTGAGCGTGTCATATTCTATTATCGGACACACGGCGGTGTATCGGTTCACATTCGGGGGTTTAGTTGCGTTCAATCTAGCCATAAATTCATAAAGAGAAAACATTGCCCTTTCCATTAGAATCACGGTCCTCCCACCTAAAGCGTACTGGGGCGCTTCACACCAGTAGCCTCCGAGTGTACGCAAAACGTTTGGATGTTTCATAGAAACTCCCAACATGATTTCTTCGACTTGCGCTGCCACGTGAGCGTACCTATAGAATCGGTCTTCTATAAAAGGCACGCTCCAGTCGACCATTTCGGGAAACAAGCTGATTTTGGCGACAACGGTCGAGTTGGGAATCGTCACCACTACTCCGAATCCGCCTCGGCCCAACACGTGCTTGACATCGGTGAGCAGCGGTTGTAAATCGACGCTGTCGCGTTGATCTACGGTCACGCCGCTGTACAGGGTCCAAGGATTCACTTCGACGGTTGGTTCGCCTGGATCTACGTACTGTCTGTTGAACGCGGGCGTCGTACCCGCGCATATTCGTGGAGTGACCGTGTTGTAGTGGGCAGGTTGGTGTACGCGAAGCACGGGTCGCGTGTCTTGTTGCGTGGGCTCTATTTGTTCCCTTTGTCGCGTGTAGAAATGTAACAGAAACGTCTGTTGGGTCACTTGATTTGTGACCGAAGTCTTGAGGTTGTCAATCACGCACTCCACCTCACGACTATATGGCGCGACGGCTTTAGCCTTTGTTGTTAGAAATATCACAATAGAGTTGTACTTACGCGTTGACGCTCTATCATTAGATATGTACACTATTAGGTATTTCACACCTTCGGTCAACACTATATTGTCACAAATAGCCGCCACCAGAACGTCTGTGCGTGCGTGTTCGATGACGTACCTGTGTAGTTCCACTACCGTATCATAGTTTTGCGCGACCGTAAAATCGACTTGTCCAGTAGACACAGTATCCAACACCCCGTATAGATCGTTGTAAGCGACGGTTTTCAGGTGGAGGAGTTTATAGTTCTCCACTAGTTTCAATAGTATTTCAACGTTGTGCTTGCCGCGACCTACTCCGGCCTTGGCAGTCATCGTAAGCGACTTGCTCAAGTGTATCGAACGTCGACCGAGCGGACAGGTAAATAGACGATGAAATCCCGCAAAGAAATAGAGTTCACAGACACGGGAACCGTTGATCTGTTCGAATGCTTGGTGATCAGCGGATCTCCGGCGACGGGCTATCTACACAACTATTTCTTTAACGACGTGGCCACGCTACAGTCTAGTCTGCAACTGCTAAGAGACATGTGGACAAGAGTGGATAGATTGTTTGTGCCCAAGGCGGACGTAGAGTCCTTGCATTCAATGGAGTGTAACAGCACGGGTCATTACAACAACGGTATACCACTAGCCATAACTGTGGACGGAGGGAAACTGGCTAGATATTACGTTTATCTGCTTTTCCGTTATTGTATCAGCGCAGCCGAGAACCGCGGAATCGGCGGGCGCTGCTCAGGTCAGCGGCAATTGCCTTTAACTGATATACCCGCAGGCTGGCTGCAAACTGTAGCGTTCAGCAGCCACTCCTCCGCGCCATCGATTGATTTTCAAAGTGTTTCGAGTGGCGTGCGCCGGCAACAACCGGAACATAACGAAAAACCAAGAATGCTAGCTTATCAGCATGACACTCCGTATCCTCCAGCACAACAAGACTATAACGACGGCGAGTTTCCGCGTGTCAATACCCGTAATCAAAAGAGATACGTTGACAACGTACCAAAAGCTGCGCCTCGGGATGACAATCTCATGATAAGACCTCCGCCTGAGCGAAGAATGTACCTAGAACCACCCATCGGCGTGGCACTAGAACCTCCACGTACTAAGAACGCGACCCAACCCACATCAAAACCGCTCAGCGGCTACCGATCCCACTCGGATAGCGACTAACTGACACGAGACCATGTAGTGTAATCAAAGATGATCAGTTCCCAGACAAAAGTATATGTCTCACACGGTACACTTGACCGAGTGTGCTATAAAAGGATGTTCGGTGTGTTGTATCCGGTAAATGCTGGTCTACAACGGACACGATAAATACGACGTGCTTATTAAATGTCATAAACGTGCACGCTGCTACGTGAAACCATTGTCACCGAACCGCTCATGAAGAGGGTCTACATCAAATCGAAACAGACGAGACGCCACGGTAACAGCGCATGTGACCAACGATCATGTCTACGACTCAACCTGTGACTCAACAACGTACGCGCACGGGGTATTTTGTGAAAGGAGTTTACACGACGGACGAGGACTCGACGGAGCGTTACTCCGGCATGACTTGCGGCATATGCATGGACATGAT